CTTTCAGCAGCAACAAAATCCCAAAAAAACCACACTATACCACAAGCTATACATGATAACATAAAATTACCACATTATACCACATGGTATGGCATGGTAAAATCAATTATCACACATAACCCCACCTTTAACTTGAAACTACCACACTATAACACATGATAAGGCATGGTAAAATCAAATTACGACACTATACCACATGGTATAACATGGTAAAATGATTTACAACAACAACAAAATCCCAAAAAACCACACTATAATACAAGCTATAGAGGGTAACATCAAATTACCACATTTTATCACATGGTATGACATGGTAAAAGCAAAACAAATCCGAAAGAACAAAATAGGTTCAACAACCCAACCAACTTCAACCATTCATTCACATAATCCTCTACGAAAACTGTGATCGAACAAATTAAACAACTATCACAGCTTCAGCCTCAAACTTTCTTCAACAGCCTTCAAATTCTCCTCCTCGAGCCTGCTAGTTTTTCTCTTGTTCTTACTTACAGCCCTTGCAGCCTCCGCAACTGGAATTTTTCGTTTTGAAGGCTTGAATAAATCTTTTTTAGGTTTAAACCCCTTCACTTTTTGGACCGGTAAATCATATATTCCAAGATAACAAAAACAAACTACAATCAAATGACAGATATATATAAAAAAATCATCCTCCTCAAACATTGCATATACCAAAATACAAAACTCTAAACAAAAAAAAACTTATTGTCACAGTTAGAAGATGTGCTTGTTCCAGTAGGTTCAATAATCAGTGGGGCTTCACACTTTTTGATCAAATCAGTCATGAAGGCCATGGCTGATTTATACAAATCATCATCCAATGAAACCCTGTTGATCATTGATGTAGAAACAGCTGACAGATTGAACAGACGAGACCGGTACTTCGCTGGACTATCAGTAGACGGAACTTCAAAACAAAAGTTCCCTCCAGTTTTTGCTGCTCTTTTCCACCGTTTCAAGTAATGTCGAATATTACTATTGCAGCACTCACTTAGCTCGGTACTCTTCATTCCTGCACCAAAATAACAATTCACCCAGGCTGAAGGCCACTTCTTCCTGACTTTGTAAATGCCCTGTAACCAACTGTGTCCCGAAGGTCCCTTCCCAGGAAAATACTTATCAATCATCTTCTTCCAATTATACTCAAAATCATCCTCATCATCAGCATTATACATCAAATAACTAAGCTCACGTAGGAAATCAGAGTCACACAAACTTCCCAGATTAACAACTACATTCTGAGCAATATGCCATGTACACAGCCCATGAAAACAATCTGGGAAAACAGACCTTATACCAGCAGCAATTGCAGCAGCCTGATCAGTAAACATTGATGATGGTCTCACACCTCCCATGCATTTCAAAAACCGATTGAAAAGCCATTCAAATGTTGCTGTTGTTTCATCATATAGAAGAGCAGTCGCAAAGACAGTGAGTTGGTGATGATGGTTGAAACCAACACATACGATATGGTATAAGGTACAAATAACATAAAAAAATGTGAGTAAAAACAATTCTACCAACACATACCGCGTGGTATAAGGTACAAATAACAATAATACCAACCCATACCATATGGTAAAGACTTCTAAGAACAAAACACTAATCCATACCAACCCATACCATATGGAAAAAGACTTCTAAGAACAAAATACTAATCCATACCAACCCATACCATATGGTAAAGACTTCTAAGAACAAAACACTAATCCATACCAACCCATACCATATGGTAAAAGACTTCTAAAAACAAAATACTAATCCATACCAACCCATACCATATGGTACAGACTTCTAAGAACAAAACACTAATCCATACCAACCCATACCATATGGTACAGACTTCTAAAACGCAAACACAACCTGATATATACCATGATACAGAATGATAAAAATAAGCATACAAACTCACAAAGACAATAATAAACAACAAAGTAGAAAAACATACCTAGTGGTCGATACTCTTTATTAGTCCGATAAGTAGTATCAAAACTAATTGAATCACCAAAATAATGATAATCCATCCGCATCTTCCCATTGGCGCAAAAAATACTAGCAATGTTCTCTTCAACATCAAACTCCACCTCATGAAAGAAGCCAGGATCCAGCTGTGCTTGACGTCTAAATTATGCAAGCAATGCAATTGCATCATCATACTCCATTGATAACGTCCTCACAGTTCGCAAATGGTTCTTCAAATCATTCTTTGTGAAACCAACAAACTTCTGGCCACCACCAGTCCTACTAATTTCATTATACGAAGAAGTAACACCAATATCAGCAACATCATTCACCTCTGCCAACATCTTGTACACCGGAGCCATTTGTCTGCTGGATCTCACTTAGTGACACAGAGACTCAGGAATCATGTCATGGTTGTGCACATTATACCAACGATAGATCTTGTAGCATTTGAACTCTTTAAACCACCTCAGTCGTATATAAGCACCATTACATCCACCCCTGAGTTCTGGAACATTACGAACACGAACCTTCGTATCAACAACACCTACATTATCAGGGTTATTCTCACTACCTTTTCTCCAACCTTCCTTATTGAAACAATACTTGATATAATAAACAGCTGAAGAACCACCATTGAGCTTCGGACATGCTGATTGTTGGTAAATTCTCACACCAAAACCTTCATGATTCCCATAATTCACATAGAAATTATATGCATCATCTGGTGTATTGAACTGTAAGTCCTTCCAAGAATCACGTACAGTAGGATATATACCATTGAAACCTACAAACATTATAAAGCAACATATTAAATATGTACAAATATAATACCACCATGGTATGATATGGTAAAATGGATTCCACACCACAACAGAATCACATCTCAGCATATACCAGTAATTACCACCATGGTAAGATATGAAAAAAATTAATTCCACACCACAACAGTATGAAATCTCATTGTATACCAATAATTACAGCCATAATATAAGAATTACCACCATGGTATGATATGGTAAAATGGATTGCACACCACAACAGAATCACATATCAGCATATACCAGTAATTACCACCATGGTAAGATATGACAAAATTAATTCCACACCACAACAGTATGAAATCTCAATGTATACCAATAATTACAGCCATGATACAAGAATTACCACCATGGTATAATATGGTAAAATGAATTCCATGCCACAACAGAATCACATCTCAGCATATACCGATGATTCCAACCATGGTACAAGTAATTAACACCATGGTATGATATAGTAAACCGAATTCTACACCACAACAGAATCACATCTCAGCATATACCAGTAATTACCACCATGGTAAGATGTGACAAAATTATAGCCTTGATACAACAATTACCACCATGGTATGATATGGTAAAATGAATTCTACGCCACAACACAATCCCATCTCAGCATATACCAATGATTACAACCATGATACAAGTAATTACCACCATGGTATGATATGGTAAAATGAATTCCACACCACAACAGAATCACATCTCATCATATACCAGTAATTACCACCATGGTAAGATATGGCAAAATTAATTCCACACCAAAACAGAATCACATCTCAGCATATACCAATGATTACAACCATGGTACAAGTAATTACCACCATGGTATGATAAGGTAAAACTTAAATACAGAGCACAATAACATCACAACACAACACTATAGTATCACCTCTCATCGTATACCAGTAATTACCACCATGGTACCATATGGTATCTAACACATTCAAACTTCAATAAACAAACAAATTTGTATATCTTACCTCCTGATTCACCAGAGTTAGCTGAATGACCAAATCCAAAATCGATAGATGAAGAAGCAGTCCCAACAACGCTAGATGAAGAACCAGATCCTATTACGCTTGTTAAAGAACCAGATCTATCAAATGGAACAACATCGCCACAATTTACGTAACTCATCTCACCAGAATACTGCAAAAACACCAAAACACAAAGAACATGAACATGAACAAGCTCGATTAGCTAAACAGAACACACAAAGAAACTCAGAGAAAGTAAAATCTACAAAACCTACAACGAAACCAGAGAAACTCAAACACGCTCGATTAGCTAAACATGAACAAGCTCGACTATCAATTATCGCAACAAAAAACCTACAACGAAACCAGAGATCGACAGAACGCTCACCGAAACCAAAGATCAACAGAAAGCTCGATTAGCTAAACCGGAAGAATCAGAAAAACTAATATCTAACCTCGCCGTCGATTTAGGTAATCCACCAAAGTTCTCGGCGTCGATCAATTGTGGAGAATCAGAAAGCTCGATTAGCTAAATAGGAAAAAATCAGAAAAGATTCGCCGGCCTTGTTTCTAAGCTGCTGCTCGCAGTTTCTCTCTCCAAAAACAAAATCCAGCTCGCGCACAAAAAGATTCGCAACGGACAAAAGGGGGAAGTCATTAATTCAAATATCGGACAAAAATGCCCATGACCATCACCGCATCAATCACAGCCACAAGATCAGTCCGGCCCAGATCGACGGTCCTTAGGTGGTTACTCACGGGTGAGTAATAAAAGGTTACTCACCCTATCCTAAGCCTCCAGTTGATGGTAATCACCATCTCCAATATTAGAAATATCGGTAAATGCCATATTTGGTCACTATGATTACTAAATTGTGTCATGTTTAGTCACTAAAAAATTAATATCAATTTTGGTCACTCAATTATTGAAATATGTCACATTTAGTCACTCTCTGTTAGTCTCCGTCCAACTCCGTTAACAAAGTCTGTTATGTGCTGACATGGCTAACGAAACTGCATAGTCAATGCCATTTTGGACAAACCCAACCAACACGTCACTAAACCCGCCATGTCATATACCCAACCAGACCAAAAGCCAACCCGACCCACTTAACAAAGCATACCCGCCATCTCGTACTCCACCCTCATCTCCTAATTACGCTCCCCCAGCAGCAGCCGCTGTCGCTTCATCGCTTCGTCGTCAAATAATTCCATATATCCCCAAATAATCCATATATTCCGGCAGCCAGAAAGCCAAAACCCACTGCGTCTCGCTCAGGGCGTAAGAGGTCACAAAGAAAAACTCGGCGTCGGTAGCGGTATCGATGTTTGGCTTCATGGACTAGGGGTTCTTGTTCGTCTCGTGTTTGATGACCAGCAGGTGAGTGGGGATGGAGAACTTCTCGATTTCTTTTGCAGCGGCTCTGGTGACAATATTGGCAGTGGAGGTGAGATCGAACTGCTGGATCTAGAGGTAAGGCGACAGAGAGGCGACGAAAGAGAAGGTGTTGGTGGCAGCGTCGAGGTTGAGCATGGAGCGGAGGATTGGGTGGGAGTTCTAGAGCTTGTGGAGGGTATTTTGGAGAATTGGTATTTTTGGGGTTTGGAGAGGAGAAGGGCTAGGACCGTGATGTCGGTGGCGGCGGGGACGACTCTGCACTTGTTGTACTCGGTTCCACCCACCGGCAGGGTCGTGGGTTCCGGCTGGGCGGGGTTGGGATTAGCGCCGCCGTGATCCAATTGGGTCGACATGGTTGTTGAAGATGGAGAGGTTTGATACAAGATTCAGGGGGAGATTGAGGGAGAGAGAGCAGGGAAGAAGAAGAAGAAGAAAGAGGAGACTGTTTTATTATTCAGGAACTGGTGTTGGAATTATTTGTCGGGAAGTGACGGCGGCTACTGCCGGGGGAGCAAAATTGACAGGTTTACTTTTGTTAAGTGAGTCGGGTTGGATTCATGGATTGGATAGTGATATGGCGGATTGGGTTTGACCATTTCTAGTTAAAAATGGTGCTAATTAGGTGTTCACATTAACTATGTTAATACATAACGGTCTTTGTTAACGGGAGTTGGGCGGAAACTAACGGAGAGTGACTAAATGTGACATGTTTCAGTAATTTGAGTGATCAAAATTAATATTAATTTTTTTGGTGACTAAACATGACATAATTTAGTATGACATTTACGCTTAATAATATTATTATAATTCTGAATTGCTATTCGTCGTCCTAAATTTTAAAAATTGTCGCCCTAAATTTTACTAAATTGACGTTTATACCCATAACTTATATTTCCACAATCCCTACCTCCTTGTGGCATCCCCGCCCACCAGCCGATTGTAGGCGGCCGCTGCCGTTTCCTAGACCATGAACATGCCGCAGCTTCCATTCTCCGACCCAACTTTATTCCAACTCCCCACCGCCTACCTCCCTGTCAATTTCCAAGTCAATTTAATCTTCTTCCCAAATCCATTTCCCTTTCCCTGTCTCTGTCAAATCACTTTAAACAAACGTAATAAAATTAAAAAGATAAAGGAAGGGAAAAGAAGGAAGCAGAAGGAAAAGAAACCCATTTTCTGCTGTCCGTCGCAAACCTTTACACTTTGTACAAAATGGTCACAAACCTTTAATTTATAACAAAACGATAACAAAACTATGAACTTGTACGAAATGGTCACTTCTGTTAGTCTCCATCCAAATTTCCGTTATATCTATCTAATCAGCATTCCACGTCATCAAACAATTAATGAACAAATTCCTTTTAATATATGAAACCAATTGAGACGAGCCAATAAAAAATTGATTACAAACCGGTCAAATCCTATCTCACCACTCCATTGGGATTCCCTTGGCCCTTATCCTCCCTTTCTCCATCGTGCGTCCTCTGCTGCTAGTTTCCATTCATTTCACATTATGCTCTTTCTCACACAAAGGGTTATGGAAGATCTTGAATACATCTAGAGCTCCATCCTTCATTCTCGCCTGCTTCACTTCACTCCACATTTCTTGATTTCTCTTTCCTCGAAGCACCACAGCCTCTCACTTTTCTTTCTTTATCTCTTCCCCCTCTTCCATCTCTCTTTCAATTGCATCATTCTTCTCCCAATTTGCGAGATCCCCTTTCTCCGCTCATCTGCTCCAAATAAGAGTTCCTCTTGATTGATGCGCTAGTTTAGCAGTTCCAATTGTAACCTCTCCCGGTCCCCCTCAGTTTTGGTAAATCGTAAGGACCACCACCATGGAAGGGAGATAGAAATTAATATTAGCGGAGGTAAGTGGAGAAGGTGAGGGTGTGGTGGCCCGTGAGAGTGAAGGTGGAGCTGAGGTTGTTGTTACTGTTGTAAGTGGTGAGGGTAAGGAATTCTTGTTGTATCGAAGATAATACTACAAGAGGGGTGAGATAGGGTTTGGGCAGTTTTGACCGATTTTTAACCGAATTGAGGTTGGTTTCATATAATTAAATTGAATTTTTTTATTAATTGTTTTGATGAGGTGGAATGCTGACTAGATAGTTCTAACAGAAATTTGGATGGAGACTAACGGAAGTGACCATTTCATACAAGTTCATAATTTTGTTATCGTTTCGTTACAAATTAAAGGTTCGTGACCATTTATGATAAATACCCCAATGTATCAAATAACTGGAGTTGATTAAATAAAGGACTCAACAAAAACAGCTCTGTTAGAGGCTTAGAGCTAAGGAACCCATAAAACAGAGTAACCAAAAATAAGGGATTTGAGAGTGGCTAAGGAACCCATATCAGTATATGCCTGAAGAACTATCGATGGCTTTGCTAAGAGAAGTGACCTTGTGCTGGTGAAATCTTTATGTAGCGAAGGTTGTATGTAAGGTCTTGTGTTGCATAAGTACTGCAACCGGCCTACCAAAGTTCTGTATTTAGTGTCATGAACCAGTTGCTCCCAATAACTCGAGTTGTTGGGAGAAGGTTATGTTGGATCTTATATAGGCCCATGTGTGGTACTTGACCACTTCCTTACACGCCCCTTCAAACGAAAGCCGACTCAAGGGCTTGAAGTTTGCACAGGCACGCCATACCATGTGCTTGAAAGACAATTGTTAATATTGGGAGTCGTGAGGACTTGGACATGTGCCACCACTTGGTCCCAATAACTCGGGTTGTTGGGAGAAAGTTATGCTGGATTTTATATAGGCCCATGTATGGTACTTAACAACTTCTTTACATTTAATAGCTTCACCTTGAGTGCGAGGATCTCCTTCTGCCAGTGAAAATTGCAACCTTGGTTCAAGAGGAGAGTTTGCAGGTTTTGAGGCCACCATACCATACTCCTCTAATAACTCGAGTGCATACTTTCGTTGGTTCATGTGAATTCTTGCAGAAGATCGAGCAAACTCCATGCCAAAAAAGAATTTTGAAGTGCCTAAATCCTTGATCGTAAATGTCTTATCTGAGTAATACTTGATTCTAGTTATTTCAGCCACGTCAATATCAGTGAGTACAATGTCTATTGGAGGTAACCCAGCCCGCTCATCCCACGACACAGTCCTCGACCAACACAGTTACGAACTTAGCATGGCCAAGAGCCAATTGTGTAACTCGTGTAACCCTAGTAGACAGATGTATAGGGTATAAATATTTGGGATGAAATCCCAAAATACATATGTTTCTAAAAAAAATTCTCAAAATACAAACGTTATAAAAAAATTCCAAAATACACATGTTTGGGCATCACCGCTGTTGTCAACCGTAGTGAATGCATTCAACGCGACAGACCAAAGCAGTGAATGCATCACTGCGGTTGACGGCGACGGTGAATGCCTGACGTAACACTGAAACTTCAAACAAATGTAACTTTGCGCTCGGTTATTCGATTGTAGCGAATTTTTTTTATTCCGTATAACTTTTCAAGATCTTTCAATCTGCAACAAGACTTAATCTAAAAAAATGTCGTTTGTTACCCCAACGAGCAATTTTTCGATTTTGCCAAACTTTGAAAGGCCATAACTTTTAGCTCCTCAATCCGACCGCCGTAAAGTTTTTTTTATTGCGAATAACTTTTTAAGAACTACAACTTTTACTACGAAAATTTTTTTAAAAAAGAAATATTTTTGGGTATACGGGATTTTGGCAATAACTTTGCCTTTACTTTTCACCAATCCACATGCTTTCCAAAATTATGGTTATAATCAAAGTTGTAGCCTTTAAAAAGTTATGAGAAATCAAAAAAAGTTTCATAACATTCAAATTGTGGAACACAAATTGCTCGTTTAGGGTAGTAAACAAAATTTTTTTGTGTGAAGGCTTGTTGCAGATTTAAAGATCTTGAAAAGTTATGTGGAATAAAAAAAAATTCCCTACATGCGGATAATCGAGCGTAAAGTTACGTTTGTTTGAAGTTTCAGTGTTACGTCAGGCATTCACCGCGGCCTTCAACCGCGGTGATGAATTCACCGCTTTGGTCTGCCGCGGTGAATGCATTCACTGCAGTTGACAACAGCGGTGATGCCCAAACATGTGTATTTTGAGATTTTTTTTTTGTAACTTGTGTATTTTGGTAATTGTTTTTAAAAATATGTATATTTTATAAATTTTTCCTAAATATTTGTGTATGGCCGGCGGCCAAAACATCAATCATCAATAAAATCCTACAAAACTGGAGAGGTATTCCTCTCCCGTCGACTAGTCCTGTACATACGGGAATACCACGTAAATCGATCTTGTTCTTACGTTTCCGCACAATAGTTAGGTTATTTTACATGGTATCAGAGCTGTTAACACGGTCTCCTTCACCGGCGAGACACAACCGCCGCAGTCCAAGAATGGCGGATCGAGTGGTCCTAGTAATCCTCGTCCTGACACCCTCAGTCCTTTGTTCATTCACCAGTCCGATAGCACTGGACACCTCCATGTAAACAGCCTCCTCACGCCTACCAACTACAGCGAGTGGGCCTTAGAGATGACCGATGCCCTGGTCACAAAGCACAAGCTAGGTTTCGTCGACGGCAGCACTCCCCGGCCTGGTGTCGATTCCATCACATTCAGTCAATGGCTTCGGTGCTACGCCCTTGTCAAAGGGTGGCTACGTACAACCATGGATCCCGAAGTCCAGAGTAGTGTCATGCATGCCAAGACGTCACGGGAGATATGGGACGATCTCTGCGATCATTTTAGCAAGCGGAATCTCACTCGAGTCTACGAGCTATGTCGCCACGTTAGTCACCTTCAACAAGAGAAGCAAACAGTCTCTGGCTTCTACACCCAACTAGGTAAGGATTGGGCGGAGATGCAATCCATCTTGCCGCTGCCGTTATGCCAGTGCGGTCGCCGTAGCCGCGATCAGAACGAGTGTTTGCGGCTGCTCAATTTCCTCCAGGGCCAGGATGATTCTTTCGCTACAGTCCGCAACCAGATTCTTCTCATGTCGCCGGTGCCCACTCTTCCCGAGGCCTTTCGTATAATTTACAACGACGAACAACAATGTCTGTTGACTCAGAACCGCAAGATTGCACCTGAAGTTGCCGCTTTTGATTCCCGCAGCGACTCGAAGCGATGTGGGAGTGACCACGTGATCAGCGTGGCGGTCGTGATGCTGGTGCTGGTGCTCGTGACCGTCTGTATGGCGATCGTGATGGTGATCGTCCGGTTTACTCTCATTGCCAAAAGGTGGGGCATTTACGTGTGTTACAACTTGATCATGTGGCCTCCTCGTGAGAAATCTAGTGACCGAGGTGAGCGTGGTGAGCATGGAGCTTCTCATCGTCGTGGCCGCGACCGTGATGGTAGCAGAAGCAGGGAGCCCCTAGCATCGCAATCTGCAGCCGATTCTTCACCTGTGTTGGGTTTCACTACCCAACAACTGGAACAATTAAAGCAACTCTTTGGGGGTTCTTTTGCTGGCCCGGCCGAACCCATAAGTAATATGGCTGGCATGTTTTCTCCATCTCTTGAACCTGAATGGTTAATCGACTCCCGCTGCAATGAACGCATCAGCATGGATGATTCCATATTTTTGACATATGAGTCTGGTACTCCTAGTGCTCCTGTTCGTATTCCCGATGGTTCAAGTATTCCAGTTAAATGTATTGGTTTCGTAGAGCTTGATACAGGTCTTCGTTTGGGGCGTGTACTCCATATTCGCAAATTTTGCTGGAACTTATTATCTGTCAGTCGTCTCTGTCAAGAGCATCATGTGGCTTTAATTTTTATCGGTGATTTTTGCGTCATACAAGACTTAGACTCGAAGAACGTGATTGGTAAGGGAGAGATTCGTGAGGGTCTTTACTGCCTTAGTCTGTTTGGGTGTCATCAGGCTCGTGCGTATGCGATTGTCAAGAATGGAGGTCTTTCCGATGGTCTTTGTCATGCACGTCTTGGCCATCCTTCACCGGCGAAGATGGAACTCCTCGGTCACACTATTCCGTTTTCTTCTTCCTCGCATAAACTTTTTCACTCCTGTTCTCGGCCTAAGCAAGTCTATACCCCCTTTCCTGTTAGTTCCGTTTGAACGACTGCCTGTTTTGAGCTGTTGCATCCTCTGGTGGCGTTCATTATTTTCTGACCATTGTAGATGATTTTAGTCATGTCGTATGGGTTTATCTACTTCGTTTTAGGTCTGAAGTTTGTTGCATATTCAGATGTTCTGTCAGCTTGTCTCTACTCAGTTTGGTTTCCAGGTTAAACGCATTCAGGCTGACAATGGCTTGGAATTCAGACTGTTGTCCTTCAGCGCTATTATGAGCAACATGACATTGTTCTACAGACTTCCTGCACTGACACACCTCAACAGAATGGTGTTTTTGAGCGGAAGCATCGTCATTTGCTTGACACGGCTCGTGCTCTTCGATTCCAGACCTCCCTACCTATTCGTTTCTGGGGCAAATGCATTTTCGGTGCTGCCTACTTGATCAACCAATTGTCGACTGTTGCTACTGGAAATAAGACTCTGTAGGAGGTTCTCTTAGACACACCTGCTTCCTATGCTCATCTTCGTGTCTTTGGTTGTCTGATTTACTGCAAAGACACTCATGCTGGGCTTGGAAAGTTTGCAGAATGGGGGAGAGCCTATATCTTCTTGGGTTATGCCGCTAGCCAAAAGGGATATCGTGCTCATGATTTGACGTCGCGCAAAATCATCATAGGCCGTGACGTTGTCCTCCACGAGTCCGTTTTCCCATTGACCCCCACTGTTTTTCCTGAGATTAATTGGGTTTCCCCACAGGTCTTTCCTCGGCCCAATTTTGATGATGTGACCAAACTCGTGGATGCCGCTTTTCTATGCTCCGCTGCTGCTTCTCCGGCCCAGCCCAGCCCGCTCTCGCCTGTTCGCTCGGCCGTGGATCCCCCGATTCCTCGCCCAAGCTCACCTCCTCGCCGGCCCAGACCTCGAGCCCGTCTCATCATCCCAGTACCCGGTCCGAGGGCTCTCCTGCCCATGACGTGTCCCCAGGCACCTCAGCCTCGTCACCGGCGGCCCCCTCTCCTCCAACTCATGTTATTTGCCGTAGTGACCGCACACGGTTCAAGCCCAAACGTCTTGACATCTACTACACCGGCAGTGAAGCTAACGCCGTTGTGTACCCCCTCTCCTCTCATCTCACTTATGATAACGTCACCCCTGTTTGTCGAGCTTTTTTTGCAGCCATTGCTTAAAATCTCGAGCCTCGCACATTCCGGGAAGCATTTCTTGATGAACGATGGCGTCGTGCTATGCAATTCAAAATCACGACTCTCGAGAAGAATGGCACATGGAGCCTTGTCTTCTTACTTTCTGGTAAACGCGCTATTGATTGCAAATGGATTTACAAGATCAAGTTTCTCCCGGATGGCACGATCGAGTGGTACAAAGCCCGACTGGTTGCTAAGGGGTACACTCAAATCGAGGGTGTTGACTTTCATGATACCTTCGCACAAGTTGCTAAGCTCGTCACAGTTAGGTGTTTGCTCGTTGTTGGTGTCAGTAAAGGCTGGTTCATTCATCAACTGGATGTCAATAACGCTTTTCTTCATGGTGATCTTGATGAAGAAGTCTATATGCGTATTCCGCAGGGGTTTGCGACACCGGGGGAGACTCGTGTTTGTTGTCTCCATAAGTCATTATATGGTCTACGTCAGGCATCTCGCAATTGGTATCACAAGTTCACTACTGCTCTTTGTGAACTTCAGTTTCGGCCCTCTTACGCTGATCATTTCCTCTCATTTATAACAAAGAGGGCGCTTTTTCGGTCGCGGTTATCTATGTTGATGATATTTTTCTTGAGGGAAATGATATTTTTTTATTAATTGTTTTAATGAGGTGGAATGCTGACTAGATAGTTCTAACAGAAATTTGGATGGAGACTGACGGAAGTGACCATTTCATACAAGTTCATAATTTTGTTATCGTTTCGTTACAAATTAAAGGTTCGTGACCATTTATGATAAATACCCCAATGTATCAATTAAGTGGAGTTGATTAAATAAAGGACTCAACAAGAACAGCTCTGTTAGAGGCTTAGAGCTAAGGAACCCATAAAACAGAGTAACCAAAAATAAGGGATTTGAGAGTGGCTAAGGAACCCATATCAGTATATGCCTGAAGAACTATCGCTGGCTATGCTAAGAGAAGTGACCTTGTGCTGGTGAAATCTTTATGTAGCGAAGGTTGTATGTAAGGTCTTGTGTTGCATAAGTACTGCAACCGGCCTACCAAAGTTCTGTATTTAGTGTCATGAACCAGTTGCTCCCAATAACTCGAGTTGTTGGGAGAAGGTTATGTTGGATCTTATATAGGCCCATGTGTGGTACTTGACCACTTCCTTACACTCCCCTTCAAACGAAAGCCGACTCAAGGGCTTGAAGTTTGCACAGGCACGCCATACCATGTGCTTGAAAGACAATTGTTAATATTGGGAGTCGTGAGGACTTGGACACGTGCCACCACTTGGTCCCAATAACTCGGGTTGTTGGGAGAAAGTTATGCTGGATTTTATATAGGCCCATGTATGGTACTTAACAACTTCCTTACATTTAATAGCTTCACCTTGAGTGCGAGGATCTCCTTCTGCCAGTGAAAATTGCAACCTTGGTTCAAGAGGAGAGTTTGCAGGTTTTGAGGCCACCATACCATACTCCTCTAATAACTCGAGTGCATACTTTCGTTGGTTCATGTGAATTCTTGCAGAAGATCGAGCAAACTCCATGCCAAAAAAGAATTTTGAAGTGCCTAAATCCTTGATCGTAAATGTCTTATCTAAGTAATACTTGATTCTAGTTATTTCAGCCACATCAATATCAGTGAGTACAATGTCTATTGGAGGTAACCCAGCCCGCTCATCCCACGACACAGTCCTCGACCAACACGGTTACAAACTTAGCATGGCCAAGAGCCAATTGTGTAACTCGTGTAACCCTAGTAGACAGATGTATAGGGTATAAATATTTGGGATGAAATCCCAAAATACATATGTTTTTAAAAAAAATTCTCAAAATACAAACGTTATAAAAAAATTCCAAAATACACATGTTTGGGCATCACCGCTGTTGTCAACCGTAGTGAATGCATTCACCGCGACAGACCAAAGCAGTGAATGCATCACTGCGGTTGACGGCGGCGGTGAATGCCTGACGTAACACTGAAACTTCAAACAAATGTAACTTTGCGCTCGGTTATTCGATTGTAGCGAATTTTTTTTATTCCGTATAACTTTTCAAGATCTTTCAATCTGCAACAAGACTTAATCTAAAAAAATGTCGTTTGTTACCCCAATGAGCATTTTTTCGATTTTGCCAAACTTTGAAAGGCCATAACTTTTAGCTCCTCAATCCGACCGCCGTAAAGTTTTTTTTATTGCGAATAACTTTTTAAGAACTACAACTTTTACTACGAAAGAATTTTTTAAAAAAGAAATATTTTTGGGTATACGGGATTTTGGCAATAACTTTGCCTTTACTTTTCACCAATCCACATACATTCCAAAATTATGGTTATAATCAAAGTTGTAGCCTTTAAAAAGTTATGTGAAATCAAAAAAAGTTTCATGACATTCGAATTGTGGAACACAAATTGCTCGTTTGGGGTAGTAAACAAAATTGTTTGGTGTGAAGGCTTGTTGCAGATTTAAAGATCTTGAAAAGTTATGTGCAATAAAAAAAAATTCCCTACATGCGGATAATCGAGCGTAAAGTTACGTTTGTTTGAAGTTTCAGTGTTACGTCAGGCATTCACCGCGGCCTTCAACCGCGGTGATGAATTCACCGCTTTGGTCTGCCGCGGTGAATGCATTCACTGCAGTTGACAACAGCGGTGATGCCCAAACATGTGTATTTTGAGATTTTTTTTTTGTAACTTGTGTATTTTGGTAATTTTTTTAAATATATGTATATTTTATAAATTTTTCCTAAATATTTGTGTATGGCCGGCGGCCAAAACATCAATCATTAATAAAATCCTACAAAACTGGAGAGGTATTCCTCTCCCGTCGACTAGTCCTGTACATACGGGAATACCACGTAAATCGATCTTGTTCTTACGTTTCCGCACAATAGTTAGGTTATTTTACATGGTATCAGAGCTGTTAACACGGTCTCCTTCACCGGCGAGACACAGCCGCCGCAGTCCAAGAATGGCGGATCGAGTGGTCCTAGTAATCCTCGTCCTGACACCCTCAGTCCTTTGTTCATTCACCAGTCCGATAGCACTGGACACCTACATGTAAACAGCCTCCTCACGCCTACCAACTACAACGAGTGGGCCTTAGAGATGACCGATGCCCTGGTTACAAAGCACAAGCTAGGTTTCGTCGACGGCAGCACTCCCCGGCCTGGTGTCGATTCCATCACATTCAGTCAATGGCTTCGGTGCTACGCCCTTGTCAAAGGGTGGCTACGTACAACCATGGATCCCGAAGTCCAGAGTAGTGTCATGCATGCCAAGACGTCACGGGAGATATGGGACGATCTCCGCGATCGTTTTAGCAAGCGGAATCTCACTCGAGTCTACGAGCTATGTCGCCACGTTAGTCACCTTCAACAAGAGAAGCAAACAGTCTCTGGCTTCTACACCCAACTACGTAAGGATTGGGAGGAGATGAAATCCATCTTGCCGCCGCCGTTATGCCAGTGCGGTCGCCGTAGCCGCGATCAGTACGAGTGTTTGCGGCTGCTCAATTTCCTCCAGGGCCAGGATGATTCTTTCGCTACAGTCCGCAACCAGATTCTCCCCATGTCGCCGTTGCTCACTCTTCCCGAGGCCTTTCGTATAATTTACAACGACGAACAACAATGTCTGTTGACTCAGAACCGCAAGATTGCACCTGAAGCCTTGTCTCTTACCTTCTGGTAAACGCGCTATTGATTGCAAATGGATTTACAAGATCAAGTTTCTCCCGGATGGCACGATCGAGTGGTACAAAGCCCGACTGGTTGCTAAGGGGTACACTCAAATCGAGGGTGTTGACTTTCATGATACCTTCGCACAAGTTGCTAAGCTCGTCACAGTTAGGTGTTTGCTCGTTGTTGGTGTCAGTAAAGGCTGGTTCATTCATCAACTGGATGTCAATAACGCTTTTCTTCATGGTGATCTTGATGAAGAAGTCTATATGCGTATTCCGCAGGGGTTTGCGACACCGGGGGAGACTCGTGTTTGTCGTCTCCATAAGTCATTATATGGTCTACGTCAGGCATCTCGCAATTGGTATCACAAGTTCACTACTGCTCTTTGTGAACTTCAGTTTCGGCCCTCTCACACTGATCATTTCCTCTTTATTTATAACAAAGAGGGCGCTTTTGCGGTCGCGGTTATCTATGTTGATGATATTTTTCTTGAGTGAAATGATCTTCCCTTTATCACCCGCGTCAAATCGTTCATGCATGACCGATTTAGTATCAAAGACCGTGGCAACATTTGTTACTTCTTGGGGATTAAGGCAGCTCACTCTCCTCAAGGTGTCATTCTCTCTGATGCTGGTATTACTGGTTGTCATCCCAGCGCATTTCCCGTTGAACAAAATCATCATCTTACTCGCGTGGATGGTACGACCCCTCTCGACGATCCCTCTGCTTATCGTCGGCTTGTTGGGCGTCTCTTATACCTGACTGTAATCCGTCCCGATATTTCCTATGGGTCAACATTCTCAGTCAGGTTGTGCATGCTCCTACCCATGCGCATATGGCTGCTGCGCATCCTTCGATACTTGAAGGTTTCCCTAGGTCAAGGGCTCTCCTTTCCCTCTGGTAGTGATCTTCCTCTCACTGCCTACTGTGATGCGGATTGGGGTGGTTGCGAGTCCTCTCGTCGTTCTACTATAGGATATTTTATTAGTCTGGGTGGTGCCCCCATCTCCTAGCGCATAAAGAAGCAACAGGTTGTAGCTCGTTCTTATGCCGAGGCTGAATACCGCGCCATGGCTAGCAAGGTCAGTGAGCTCATATGGTTATGCTGGCTCCTTTCACGAGCGAACGAAGCATGTTGAGATGGATTGCTACTTCGTTCGGGAACGTGTCCAGTCTCGTGAAATTGCTCCTCTCAAGGTCTCATCTCATCTCCAACTTGCCGACCTCTTCACTAAAGGTCTTGTTGCCGAGCGGTTCCATTTTCTCATGTCCAAACTGGGCATTCGTGACCTTCATGCTCTAGCTTGCGGGGGAGTATTGGAGGTAACCCAGCCCGCTCA